CGCTCTTCCTTTAACTACACTATGAGTGTGTGTCTGGATGGCCCAGGAGACAGATAACAGCCTTTTACTCCTCTTTCACCAGCTGAAATCCAAACCAGGCTGGTGGCAGTGGAAATTTGTTGCCACCTGGTGACAGTTCTCTGGCCTGCTTGGGAAGAGTTGCTGATCTCCAAGCTATTTTCTGTGGAGAGGTGACCACATCACAGAGGAAAAAAAAGAAAAAAATCACAGAGAAATGTCTCAACCATGCTCATTTTTTTCACTGGCAGTAAAACTGTCCAGAGTACAAAATATTTTTTTCTATGGAAAATTCCAGTGCCAACAGGGAAAAAAATATTTGTTTAAAATTTTGTGTGAAAGCAGGCTTTTTTTTTTCTGTAAAAGCAACTTTTTTCTGTAAAAAATGCATATCATAAAAAGCTTGATGTTTTTTTCACTGAAAAAGATCTTGACATAAATTTTTCCATCAGTTCTTAGTATAACTGAAAGCAGAAAACCCAGGAAATAAGCAACTATTTCTTCTCTTCCTTTGGACAAGATACATTGTTAATGCACAGGCAAAGTTCTACATGTTCAAATCTTTGATTAGAAGATTTCAAGCTGCAGAAATGTTAATCCTGAAATTGTCTTAGTAATGGCCATTAATAGAAATAAAAACGCATAGAAAACATAGAGGGGGATGTCTGAATATAGTATACAGACATATAAGATAAGAAATAAATTTCTGTAATACACTTGACATAGATAATTCTGAGAACTGTTTTTCAGGGCTTCCCAAAACCACTAAGCAAATGCAACAGATACAGAGCTACAGAGCCTTCCTCCTGTATACTTTTGTGTTTATCATCAGTCTTAACTAGACTTGAATTATTGTGTCCTGCTGAGCAAGAGTTGATTTTTTTTCAGGTGAAACTCCTCACTTTCCTGTAAGAGTAAGTAGGCCTTGGTACTGCTTGAGTCCCAAACTAGACCTTCGTTCAAACTCTGGCCCCACTGAGGTCAATAACAAAATTCCCATTGGCTTCAGTTGTACCAATGTTTAAGTCCCTAAGATAGGTCTTGATCAGTCGGGTTTTTTTGTAAGGGGCTTGTGCAGATCCTTAGCAGAAAGATTCACTTCACTTGTATGGCTGCCATGCTCCCTCCCTATTCCTACCTCTGCTGACCTCAGTTTGCAGAATGAGGCCTCTGTGTAAGTGTCATTTAATGCAGAGTTGTGGCTGTATTCAACTGTCAGCGTGAGATAATTTTGGAACCGCACTAAATTTCAAGCTTTGCAGATAATTCATTTCGTTCCGTGCTTTCCAACAGAAACAGCATGAAAACAACCATATCCCCAGTCTAAATTATGAGTAATACTGTTTAACTTCTTTGAGGTCTATTTTGAGCAAGCAACAGAACGTATATCTGCCGTTCCTTTTTTCATATCAGTCAAAACTGCTGAAAGTCTGAAATGCCTACTTGTCAGTTCAACAAACTGCATTGACAGGGGTCCCATGTCTTAAGTTCTTAAGCACATACAAAGCTTATAAGCAACCCCGTTGACATCAGCAGGGGAATTATTCGTGGGCTGGTAGGTACCCTGCTGAATCAGGCCAAAAAGGCTAATGGCTTTTCCTTCTTCTGGTTGGAAGGCTGCAAGAATTGGTGGCCTCGCAGCCCCTCAGCTTGCATTTTCTGGGCAGTATATTTGCGGGAGGAACAATTTAATCTGCCTCAGGATTATAAGACCTGAGCTTTTATGCATTTTAATGGCTTCAGCATATTTGGGAGGAAAGTATTGGGGTGTTGGAAATGTTTTGCTCCAGCCTTTTTTACCAGGAAGTTTTGTGCTCTGCAGACAAAATGTCTTAAAAACTTAAGTCATCACCCTCTGCGTATAATAGTTCCTCAGATTGACTATAAGGAAAAATACTGTGTTTGAAATGGTATGTATTATTGAAAAGCTCACAGAGGTAGAAGAAGGTGGTGTTTCTGTTGTATTTTATTTTTCAGAGATATTCAAGACAATATCAATATACGTACAATTGAAAGAAATTCATTCACGGGCCTGAGTTCTGAAAGTGTAATTCTGTGAGTAAGACATAGCAAATCCATTATTCTCCTCGTTAGCTCATTTCTTCTCCAGAATAGGGTCAAGGAAACCAGGGGATTGGCACTATTTTATGCACTTCCAAATTCAGCTTCAGGTTTTAGACTTCTCCCTTACCCCTCAAAACTCTGTATTCTGTTTTCCTGCTGTGAAAAATGAATGCTTTTGTTGGGTTTTTTTGTTGTTGTTGTTGTTGTATTCTAATCCTGCTCTTTATTTTAGAAGCACAGCATAGAGCAAATTTAGTAATTACTGATGCCAAGGTTAAACGTATTCCACCTACAACAACAGTTCCATATGATACAAATTGTGTTCAAAAGAATGGCATGACTCATAAATATTTACAGTCAGACACATCATTCAAAGATGTTTATTACGCAGGCAAAATATTTGTAGATGTTCTGGAAATGCAGTATATTTGTACACAATGTTAATGCATTGATACAGGCCAGTTCACAAGGCAGTTTCAAGCTGCGTGGTTAGATTACTCTACTTTTGACTTTAACAGTCATGTTTTTTAATGAACCATCAGGCTTCTTTGATCCTTTCTGTTGGTATATCAAAACGTACTATTTGCTTGCTAACAAGCTGCCTTCATTTCACCTAGCCAGTGGCCAGACTGGAAAAATTTCCCACTGTGTGTGTGCAGTTTACCTCGTATATCAAAGCAGACAAGCAAGATCTGATTGACTGACTGGGCTCACGTTGATTTTGGTGGGAGCAAGGTCAGACCATCAGTATTTGAAGAGAGGCCAGTAACAAGTCACTTAGCTGTTTTCTCTCCTTTTTCCCCATCAGTTATGCACAACGTCTGTCTACATCAAGTTCCCTGAAGTTTTAAACACACATGCAGTTTTCTCAAATATATGTTCAAGTCATGATACCCTAAATGTACTGGTTTATCATTTCTCCTGTGATGATAATATTTGCTACTCAGGTGGGACTGTGTATACAAGTACTGTATTTGTTTCCATAATATCACTAAGGGGTGAGAGAAATGTCCCAGATTTTTACTGTGATTTGACCTCTCTGTGCCACTTGAGCAGCATGAAACTGGCTTTCTTCTCTCCCTAGGATGTCCCATTGCTTATATGATTGCTGCCTGTGTATTGAAGGATAGTCTTCTCTGAGGACTTAAGGCTGCTGGTTTGCTAGCAAAATTGGCCTGGAGGGCAGATCGTGTCCCCTTCCAGGTGCTTTGCCCTGCCTCCTGAAACAGCCCCATTGCCATGGGCTCCCCATGCCCACCAGTGTGTGCAGGAGCAGCAAGAGCTGTGCAAGCAGACCTGGCCACCACCTCCCTGGTCATACAATCATAGAATCATAGAATCATAGAATCGTTTAGGTTGGAAAAGACCTTTAAGATCATCCAGTCCAACCATTAACTTACATTACCAAGTCTACTCTAAGCCAATCAAGGGTAGACTAGACTAAACCATGTCCCGAAATGCCACATCTACCCGTTTTTTGAACACTTCCAGGGATGGGGACTCCACCGACAATGTCCTGACTCTGCTGTAGTTCTCCCTTGGGACAGGGGTCCTGCGTGTGCTCTTTGAGAGTCCCTGATTGGGCTTTCCTTGTGCTGTGATGAACTTGCCTCATTTTAGACCCAAATTTGCTGGTTTTCTAGACAAAACTGAAGTCACTATGCAATGCAATAAAAAGTTACTGTTACAGCAACATCATTTTGTGAAATCAGGCATGTCAAGATGGCATTAAAAACACAGAGGACCCGTTGAGCCTCCACATTCTGGAGAGACCAAATTTTAGCAGGTTTAGCTGTGGCAGGCTCCAAGCATGGTTAAGCCAGTAATTTGGGTTGTATCTGATCTTGCACTATGCATGGGATCTGCACAGACTGGAACTGTGGATACATTTGGTAAAGAAGTGCTAGAAATTTATGGAAGAAATTCACCTTGCTTCCAGGTCTGCATGTCACTTAGAGCCTAACATAGAGCTTTCCTGCCCTGAAATAGGCTGTAAATATTACCTCAGGGGCAGTGGCCTGCTGCACCGGGTGAATTTTAAAGTGTGTATTAAAAACACTGCTGTAGCCATGAAATAGTCAGTAAAAGCCCATATGCCCAAGCTCTGGATCTCTGCCTTCATTGTCACTTGTTGATAACGTAAGAGTTAGTGGAGTGAGGGGAGAATTTGTCTCAATAGAAACTTGTCTGTATAAAGTATAATGGGGTCTTGGGATTTAGGTAAAATTTTGTTTGCGTTTTTTACTACTTGAATACGATTAGCCAGGTGACAAGAGTGTATAGTCCACCTTGTATTGCAACAGTGACTCTGATTTTACAACCTTAGTATCTCATTGCATTAGCATCATGTTCAGTGAGGGAACGCAGTAAGTGCTAATACTGTGATTAAAAGCATATATATCAGCCTGGCAGCTATGAATGGATAAGATCAATGTAATATAATAAATGTTTTAAATGCTATAAGCAGGGACATGTCTCTTGTCTGTGCCTGCTCACTCATGTCTAACAGTGCTTGCAAGTGAAGGGGACGGTGACAGTTCTCCTGATCTGACCTGACAGACGTTATAGACATGGAGCTATGTACATCTGCCTGTCATGGTCAAAAGAGTAATCCTTTCAGCCAGACCCACAACTGATTTTCATGCTGACCTTAGCTCACCACCTCGGACCTTAGATAAGCGGGTCACTTGCATGCTCAGCTTTCAGTGTGAATTAGAAACAAAACGTCCAGGTTTGCTGACAGTTTAATTAAATCAGGCCATTTTTGCCATCAATCAGACCCGTCATTGCCTGTTGGAGAGGGCGTGAGTTGCAAAGTGACATTTAAAGCAAGATGAAAGATTACACCGTAAAGATGAAAAATATAACTGACCCAAATGTAAATTTTTAGGACTGTGAAGGGAAGAGAGGGAAGGACGTTAAACACTAATTAGTTAATGCACAACACTAAAAACTTGGCGGAAAGCCCCAGGAGCTTTGATTCCCAGGTTCACTACCTGTGTCTCCTTTTGGGGGAAGGAGCCTGCGGAGGTGGGACTGGGGCAGCAGAGCAGACAGGGAGTGTAATTTGTCAAGGCAGCAGACTAGGAGGAATCAGCCACTTCCCGGACAGTTTGGCATCACCACCATCCCCCTCCTGCCCAGCTTGGCGATGGTCAACCTTCCTTCTCTGCCTGCCCCACTGAGGACACAAGACCACCACAGGTGGTAGTCTTTTTTTCTAATAACTGGCAAAGGTTAAGCTGTGGCTCAGTGTTTCAAAAGCATCTTGAAAAAAGTAAAACCAAGTGGCACCAACAGGACCAGCAGGAAAGATCCTGGTCTCACCCCTGCTGGGATTAACCTGGAACAGCCTCACCGACTCCGCTGCAGCATTCCCAGGGGAGCCGTGAGCACCACCAGTGCCTTCATCAGCTCTGCCCTTGCTTCAGAAACTTACTCTAGCTATCATCGCTGATGGTGGCACTCATCTGCCCTATTCCTGTCTGTACTCTCCAAAGAATTCCTCCAACTGTTGGGATCTTACAAGCTAGTATTCACAGAAATTTCATCATTTGAATATCCACTTAATAATTTTATTTGTTTGAGATCCCTTTCACTGATTTGAATTACATACATTTTAGCTATGAAGCATGAATAAGAACCCAAGTCTTCTGTTTTTTTTACTCTGTTGCAGATGGCTAAATAAAAATGGGATTCGGGAAATTGAGAATCATGCATTTAATGGAACCTACCTGGATGAGCTGTAACTATTTCTGTTGTTTATTCTGAAAAGCAATTATTAGAAGGTAGTAACTGCTGCAAGCTATTTTTTTTAAATCTCAGATTGTTTTAGCATCAATATTGTTGTGTTTTTCAGAAATCTAAGTGATAATCACAACCTAGAAAAATTACCAAATGAGGTCTTCCAAGGAGCCAATGGGCCTATTGTTCTGTAAGTAATACTCAATTTTTTTTTTTTTTAATTATTAACTCCCCAGAAAAGAACAGAGAAGAACATGTGATTGCCAGTCTGGATTTCAACATCTCACAAATCTTGGAGTTCAAAACTGGAGGTGTAGTTCTGAATATAAAAAAACTGGAAGCCATATCTGAAATTTCAGTCTAGATCCATGTTTTCATTTTGTCCTCAAGTTTTTGGGAGTAGTTGGATCCAGGGATTTAGATCCAGATTTCTCTCCACAGTTGATTAAGCTCTGTAAGAGAGTAGTTCTGCTTTGGTTTTTTCCAGAGAAAAATGCTGTTCATTTTTTGTTTGAGCAAACTCAAGAATAGGTGTGTGGGTCCTCAGTGCTTAAATCTGAATTGCTTGCTACTGAAGATCTGCCACTGCATCTCTGAAACTTAATTCTAAAGATAAAATCCCTACCCTATAGGGATAGGGATTGGGATTTCCTATCCCCTGTAGGGATAGGTATGAGAGATATCTCACACAGTTACAACAAAATGTATTTTGTGGGTGATAAGCTGGAAAGCAAGGTCTCAGCAGTAGAGAATTCAGCAGTAGGATGCTCATGGATCTCAGTTACCATTACTTCAAGCCACGGTTTTCCATTGGATCTGAAAATGCCTGTGAGTGTGCACAACTGTTTGTGTTTCTGAGCACAAGCTACAACATGTAAGAGCTACAACAGAGACATGGAAGTCTTTTTTTGTCTTACCAATTCATCAGAGCTTTTCTTTCTTCCCATCTACCCTGGATGTCCAGAGAGGGCTAGGAGTCACCCAGAAAGGGTCAAAAGGGGTCATTGGAGCTGTTGGAAGATTTTACACAGAGGTTAGAGTGGTTAGAAATCTAAAAAAGTGGGAGAAAAATGTCTGGTTAAACTTGAGTTCAGATCAGAGCTCTTCTGAAGGTCTTTTTTCTGTGTTGTGATGGTCAGTGCATCTATGATATAAAGAGCTATGGTACGTGTTACTGCATTCTGCTCCACTTCCATCACTCCCTCAAAGTGTCTTCCTTCTCTGGAAAAGATTGCCAGTGGAGCACCTTTTCCGCAGTAATATCATTTATGTTTCTATGGAAAAGCATTGTTTCCTGTAGCAAAAAGTAAATGCATTTTCTTTGCAAGCTGTAGCTGATACCATCATATTCTGGAGGTTTATCAAATTGATTTGGCTGTAGTTCAGATTCATTTGATAGTTCAATTTCTAACACAAAGTTATTTGTGTAAGAAGTTTTCTGTTCCATTACCAATACATCCATTATTCTATGGATGGGAAATTACCTTTTTATCCTGACTGAGATCACAAAAGAAGAGCCTTCTTACTCATCTGTCACTGTAGTGTACACCAGGAATGTGCTTTCACTTGTGGAAATGATTGACCCATAATCATACCTTTGCTGGGACAAATAGTGTTGTTGCAATCAAATCTGTGTTGCAGACTGCAATGTTTTATTAGAATGAACGTCAGGATGTTTTAACTCTTGTCCTTCCTGAACCAGTGTTCTGCTGCCAGTTAATACCAACTTCTATTTTATAATTTAGCATATTAAAATAATGTGAAAGAAACACAAACAGCAATGTAAGAAAGCACCAATCTTAGCCTTTGTACCGGCTACACAGTTTCACAAATCAAATCCTCTCTCAGGCTTGCAGCTCCTGGCTGAATTAGAATATCTCTTTTGGAAAGACATCAAGTTTTGAGTTAAAGGATTTCAGTGCTGACAGTAGGCAAGTAAATCAAATGGCTAATTACTCCCACACTTATACACATTCCTTCTCTACACAAATACACTGTATTTCCAACTTGGATTTTCATAGCTTCAATTTTCAGCCAGATTGTTTCATTTAATCATCTTCTGGTGCTTGCAGAGCTGTAGTGGCTTACACCAGGTTTTACTGAAGTCCTTAGGAGTTCTCTGGCTGTGTCCTGACTCAGATGCAGGGCAAGGTATGGCTGTGGTCCATCCTATCCTTGCAATTTGTCTTCAACGGGAAACCCACATATGGGGGGCAAAGGAGAGCTCCCATAGATCCCCAGCTCAACAGCTGAGTCCCTGAAGCACAGCCAGAGATCAGCTTAGATACAAGCACAGAGAAAATTGTTCTTACCGATCAGTCTACCCCACTCTGATTTCTGCTTTGCCAGACATTTCTCGCTATTTCTGTATGTGCCTTTCAAACCTCATCAGCTGGTCAGTATTTTTGCTAATCCAACAGAGACTCCCAGTGGGAAAGGGAAGTGATTGGAAGAGAAGTCAGATTCATTTTGCTGTTCCTGCACCGGCTGCTGTCAAGGCTGATGACTAGCAGCGAAACAACAGTACAAGAACATGTATTCTGATTTGATTTCCTACTGCCACTTTATCATCTTGTTCATTGTGCTTATTTAATTTATCAAGCCTCTAACTAGAGATGAACATCCCAAAGAACCTCTGCACTGAGGTCTGCTTGTGATAATTCAGTGGAGTAAGTTACTAAACCACCTGCATAATATCTGTGCTTACTGTTTGGGGGTCTGTCAGTGGTGTATCAATAAATATCCCTAACAGACGTACCAACAAACTCTGCAGTAGTGTGCAAAACACTTTCCCTAACTCACATCTGTTTATGTGCAATAGTGAGCATAGAAAGAAGGATTTTTAAAAGAAGAAGAAAATATTTTCATGGACAAATATTTAATATTTATGAAATTATTTGGACATGCCCAGAGACGCAGTAACATTTTAGCCATTTTTAATTCTAGGTGATTTTACTATTTATATTTACTTGTTATTTCCATCCAGTGTAATAACAATTTGGACTCAGTAAAGATTTTTAGCTAACAAGCCAAAGAAAACATTTTCCATGCTCTTGTTCAGAATTATGAGACCTTGTGAAGTTTCATAGGCTCTTAATGATGCCATGAGTGATGCTGTCCATGGATTTAGGCAGAAAACTGCTGTTCAGTTGTTGAGTCATGAACATATACTCTAGGTGACAGTTTTCATTAGGCAGCATACTAAGGGCAATAGTCAGTCCATGAAACAATCGAGGTTGCTTGTTGCAACCTAATTACCTCTTCAGGAGTCTAAGTCAGAAATCGATAGCCTAAAATTTCTCTTCAGCTGCAGCTTTTAGCTCCTGTGAGAAACGGGTCAGTCCCAGAACAACCTCAGGACCACAGCATGGCTTCTCTCAGCCTGACCTGCAGAAGTTCAAAGTATTTCTGACTCCACAGGTCCATCTCACCCTTCCAGTAGAAGTCATGGCCTCAGGCCAGGGCAGTGGAGTGGGGTCTACGTTTGCTCCTCTGCTGCCACAATTCATGGTCCAGTTGTTGAAGGTTCTACATACATTCAGAGCCTGGATGCAAAGCCTCCAGCTGCAGGTACAGCACAGACACAAAGATCATCTTTACCCACCATCAATAACTGCTTTATTAGCTGCATATGAATTTGTTAGGCTCGGCCACCATAAGCTAAAGACTGTGAGTTCAAACAGAGGCATTTCCTGGTATTAATTTTGCTGCTTAGAACAGAGAACAAAGGTGCAAATGTGCATATGGTACATAGCAACTGTCTAAAGTTTATTACATGCTGCTAAGACTTGGTCTCCCCCTCATGTGGCACCACTCTACTGCATTAATATGATAATAAAAACAATTTGTGCATGTTGGGTAATAGAGATCAAGTAATATGTTGTCCTGACATGGTACTGTTATGGATTAATTGGAAACTGTATCTTGGAGGGGGCATGGAGAAAATTACAAATATTGTCAGTCCAATTCCTTGATTAGGAAAAATTCCTTTCTTTTGTCAGAGAATAAAGAACAGAGCAGCCTCAGGAAACACTGCAGCCTGGATCAGTCTCACGCCATAAGAGCACATGTGCTAAGGGAGGACAGGGTGATTTTGCATAGTCCATTTTACTGTTTCTCTAAGAGAAAGGAGCTTGCTGTCACGAGCTGAGGGACACAGTTTGTGCCCTAGTGAGGGAAATGTGAGGACATTTTGCTCTAGCTGTTCCACCCTGGAACCATGGGGATGGGTTTCCAAGTATCCCTTAGCCTACAGATGGAGCACCCTTGGTCCTTCTTCCCTTTCCCACCTGCTTGACACAAGTCAAGATTTAGTGTGTGCACAATGTTTTTCCTTCTAAAAGCCTCACTAATGCTCTCTTTACTACATTTGTAGCTGCTGCTTCCATTGCTGCCTTTGATAGCCTGTCCCACACAGTAATTGCCTTCCACATAAATACATCTCTCCTAACCTCCTGTAATCTTGCCCCTTTCTTTGCTTCAGTCTGTTCTCTCTGTTGTTTGTTTAAACCTCTGGAAATGTTTTGTTATTTTTGTTCCTCACAGTTTGAACCATGTCACCCCTGTCTTTCTTTAATCTCTTTTTCTTCCTAATGAGTACAAAACCTGATATCCCCAACCTCTCCTCACATCTGTACCCCCCTGTGAGCTTCTCTCTTTGTGTTTATTGCCTTTTCCACAGTAGCCTTCCCATCATGTGATGTTCATGTAACAAACTTCTGTTGTGATTTCATCAGCCTTTTTTATCCTGTAACAGTTTTCTGGGGTGTTTGGTGCATTTACTGGGTATTTACTAAACGCAGAATCATATGGCACTAATGGTTTATGTTCCTGCTAATTCTTACTCAGAGGGTTTGGGGACTTTTTTTTTCTTTTTTCTCAAACCAGTTGCCATCACTTGATTGTTGTTTGCAATATTAGTTCAGGTTTCCTGAAGGAACACCAAAGTTATCCCTGGATCCTGCTTTCAGCATGGATTTCCAGCTGATCTCTTTCCAATCACTACTCTGAGAATGAGTAGGACATTCTAAAACACATACCCACTGTCAGGCAGAAGTAAATTTGCTTTTTACCAAGATTTTCATATGTTTTCTTAAAGGGATATTTCAAGAACAAGAATCAGTTTCCTGCCAAGTCATGGATTAGAACTCATTAAGAAGCTAAGAGCAAGGTCTACATACAATTTAAAAAAGCTTCCCGATTTAAGCAAATTTAGATCTTTGATTGAGGCAAACTTCACCTATCCTAGCCATTGCTGTGCGTTTACAAACTGGAAAAGGCAAAAGTAAGTGATTTCATTTGTTTTCCTTGTTGGTGTTTCTCAGCAGTTGATAGTGAATTAAATAGACTTCTTCAAAATCTGGATAGGAAAGGTCTTTTCAGTGCAGGTAAGTAAATGGATAGAAATAAATAAATATACAATACATACATGTTTATGCATGCTACACAGTGCACTGCCTCTCCATTCCAGGGGGGTAATAAATTTTGATAGCTGTGTTAGCATCAGCATTTTTCCCAGCTGCAGCTCTAGCCCCAACCTGCAATAGGTCCATCTTTCATTGGGACCTGCTGTCCTGGATCAGCCTGGAGCCATGCTGAAGACATTCAACAGGAAAAGTTTGATAACTTTTCAGGAGGTAGCTGGAGGAAAAGCTGTGTTTGCAGAGAAGTTGGTCAATATTTGGCCATCAGTTCAGGAGGGTAACAGGACTGCTGAATGATCTTAAACTCTTCTCTCAGCAAGCTGCACTGACGTTGTAATGTTGTCCAACCAAATGCCACAGATATGTTGTCTGTTGAGTCTACATACAGAACATTTTTGTACATGATTTCTTAAATGGTTAACCTAGAGCAGGGTGGGGTGTCTTTTTAGCCTTCCAAAGTAATTTTCCACGCATATTTTAATTTTCCATTAGCAAGTTGCAGTAAGACTTCAGGTATCAATGATCCTCATTGAGTATTTTTGGCTGCTCAGATAGGTTTTAAATGTACACGTTAACTAGCTAATGAACCTCCTGAATTTGTGCCACTGGAAAACATGAGGAACTGGTACCTACGGAAACCCCTGTTATTGTTTGAAGTTCTTCCTTTACTGGATGTCCTCAAAGACTTGGAATTTGCCATGGCAGAAAAAAAAATATGGATCGTTGTTACAATTCAAGACATTGTCTTTAGAAGTTGCCTAAAACTTCAAAGAAAAGTAAAATGATGCAGAGAAAGCATAAACTATTAGTAGCTTCTATTTTAATACTTATAACAGCCATTTATTTTACTTTTAGCATTGTATTGTCACCAGGCAATGAAAGGTAACTGATCTTGCTTGTGCTGATAGCTAATAAATATCACCTATGTGTGTTTGCAAAACTACCTGTGTAAAGAGTGCAAGTCTCACAGTAGAGACTGCAGTGATAAGGGAAGTATCTGACAGAATACATACCCCATTGCCCATTTTTGATCCAAAATGCTAAACTTTTTGCTAGGACAGCTTATCAACAGGAGACATTTTCACATACTTCTGAAGGCTTATGCAGGCACAGTGCTTGGTAGCTTGCTAAGTAGAAATGGGTCCAGTCCTCCGGCACTGATGACAAAGTGGTCCATTGGCCAAAGAGTCCAATGGAAACATGTTTAGTCCTGAATCTGCAAAGGGACCTTGATATCACTATGATTCGTATTTTTGAAGGTACTTGGCTTCTGGGTTGCTCGGGCCAAATCAGGATCCAAATCCCAGAGTCCACCCCTTAAATTATGCAAGTGGACTTCTGAAAAACAGAGTAAGAGTTACTATTGAAAGAAAGCTACAGGAGGAAATAATTCTGACCTTTTGGTAATCTCTCAGTATCTAGTCCGCTCACCTGGGTTTTCAATAACTTCCATGTGAAAGGCTTAACAAGCATTGGAACAGGCTGCCCAGGGAAGTGGTTGAGTCACCATACCTGGAGGGATTTAAAAGACTTTTAGACATGGCACTTAGGGACATGGTTTAGTGGTGGACTTGGCAGTGTTATCTTTACAGTTGGACTTGATGATCTTAAAGATCTTTTCCAACCTAAACGATTCTATGATTCTATGTCACACTTGCCCTAGGGAATTGAAGCATTCACTTCCCCCTTAGTACAGCACCGCTTTCGGAAGCCTCTGCCCTGGCAGGTAAGAAACCAAGGAGGACACTGATAGCCCTTCCCACAGCCTGGGCAAGTTCAATTTTGCAAAGAAATGCCAATGAACTGTGCAGAACTCATGTAACCCAAGTGTGGATCACCAGCAAGCTGAGCTAGAGCACCACGTGGCAGCAGGGCTGCTTCTGGAGCAAGTCTGGTCATGACTTCACAGTCCCCTATAGTATCAGGTGTAATACAATGCTAAGAAATAGTATGCAAGTTGGAAATGCTCTTCTTTATATGATGTGTAGTTACTTGAATAAATGTGCACGTGAACTGTATCACCCTGGTCAACAGAACAAAGTTGAATGTATTTATCTATGTTCTTAATAGTTACCAGACATATCTTTTAAAAAATATATTAAGCGTAAATGCAAAATTATTAGAACCAATTATTTAGATCAACCCTTCCTGTTAACTGCTTCAAAACATAATTAAAAGTGGTAATTTCTTTCACACAGTCATGTGTCTTGTACTGAAATTGGTGGGAGACTGATACCAACTCTCCAGCTTAAAAAGAGAAAATTGATGCATTTTAGTTCAGTTTGAATACTGGAAGTATTGCCATACACTTCAGCAGAGATTAGACACACATACAGTAGCTACACCCACTTTCATTTCAAAGCAGTTTTCTTGACAGCTGGCACAAGCTGCATGTGCATTGAAGACTGCTCGGGTTGTTTAAGAGTTATTAATAGCTTGCAGTGCTTGATCACACAATGTGTATTATCTCTTTGGCAAGAGCTGTGCTTGGTTCAGTGCAGCAGGCATTTCTTGTGATGGTGAGAACCGTGATGTGACCTGACTTGCCATGCACCTTCACAGGAGACAGTCATCCTCCTGTGGCCATTTGGGTCTCAGAATACTTCCAGGTAGTCCAGGGAGGATAAAAAAGATGCCTCATCACCCCCAGAAGTGCATTTCTAAGGATCACGGCAGCAGTTAGCATTCACATGGGAAATTCGGGAAGGAATTAAGACAGGGATGTGTGGCCCCTTTCTGGCTGCCCTGTTTATGTAAGATTTCCCCTCTTTGAGACATGTCCAGCATTCGAGAACCCTAGAGAAAATAAGTTGCCATAGTGGATCATGCTCAGTCATCTCTCCCAAATCTGCCTGCACCAGCAAACAGGCTCTATTGTGATAACAGAAAGCTTAAACCTGTTACAGCAGCAGGGCTTTCTAAATTTTGGAGGATGGCGGATCAAGCAGAGCTCCACCAGACTGAAACACAAATTAAAATGTAGGCAATTTTGATTTTTTTTTCCCCATTCCAAGAAGGATTATATGGTAAATATTGATCTGTACATTTATTACACTGGAATATTGTGATGCTGGCCTAACAGAAGGTAAACTGCTTTCTTAGGACAAGCCCAGTGCAGTGTGTTGAACACCCCTCACGTTTTCCTGTGACTGGAAAATAATATCCTTGAAGTGTGGATAGGGCAGAGGTTGGATGTTAAAACCCTCAACTTGACATAGACCATTATGAACTTCAGCAAGCTTTTGGCTTTCTTTGACACAAAGATCACCTTCTGCCTAAAAGAATGACATTGATACGACTCTGTCCTTACACTTGATCATTATTCTTTGGAGGAGCTGTCACTTGAAATCCTATTTTTTTAAAAAAACGTGGCAGCATCAGGAGTTGTGTTTGGGCCTCGTCTCATGAGAACATAATATCAGTTGCTTACAACTCACTTGATGTCACTTTTCAGTGAGGATGATTGCTTTGAGATAGGGCTTAATACAGAACCTAGCTCGGGACTGTTTATTCTGCTGAGTGTGTTTCTCAGCACACAAGATCCTGCTGTCACCGGATCCAGACGAAGCGCATAAAATAACCACTTGTACAAAGGTAGTCATTTTTGTCTATTTTTGTCAGCTTGCTCTGCCAATTTTAACATTATTCTTTAAGTTGTCCTTTCTTCTAGTTTGTTTTTCAGAGGGTTTACTTGAGCGAAACAATGTTAAACACTAACAGAGGGTTACAAATAGACTGAATAAATGAACTGTGTTATGATACCTGCTGTCTCAAAAGAAAGCAAGCATCTCTTGCCAAAAAAATGTTTTAACTTGTTGCTCTGAATGCACCATACAGCCCAAAGGGCAAATATCCTAGGGCAAAGAACCAGTAAGCAGTCAGTACCAGAGGATGGCTCTTCTTTCCCCTGGGAGTTTGCAACTGCCCATCTTATCTGCTCACAGTACAGGTAACCAGGTGGGAGACTCCTCACCACCCATCCTTGGAGAAAACAGAGTAGTTAACTCCATGGGAACCTGATTTTATTTGGCACCAGTGGCTCTAAAATAATTCAAGAATGAATAAATTGTAATAATCTGAAATACTTAATTGGCCTTATATAGCAATCTTATCAGGGGACAGATTTAGCTCCAGGCAGTGCCACCATAATTTTGGAAAAGGTTTGTTTTTAACCCATAGCTGAGAAATGACTGGATAAAAACATTCCCCTCAGTTCATTTATGAAGGACCACCAATTGCAGTAGCTTTCAGGACCCTCAAGTGCCTGTTGCACTCAAAAGTGAGGGACTTTCTCTCCCGTTATTGCTCCTTGGAAGCACATATTCCCTTTCAGCTAGAGAACTGCTGATATATTGATCAATACACTGGACCCCTCACTCATCCTTATGTGAGGAGAACACAGGGGAGCAAAATGTAATGCCTTGTTATTGCTATTGTGACCTCCATAGTGCATATTTGACCTCACAGAAAATCAGTTTTCTGCCTCAGTTGACAGGCAAGATAAAAAATATTGATAATAGTAGAGGATACTCAGAACCTCATAGGAAACGTCCCTCACCTTCTGGTGCTGGGCCTTCATTAGTTTTCTTTTCTTGCAGACCTTTTAAACTCGATTTTTGGAAGATGTAGTGAGTGCGCAAAGGGTAAAATTAAGTTACAAAAAAGAATTCTTCCTTTTAAGCTGCTACCAATTGTTTAACAATTTCAGCCTAACTTGCCTAGAAAGCTCTTCTCTCAACTGAACTGCAAGTCAGGGTGGAAGATAAGCTGGGGTCCTGTCCTAGAAATTATACACCTAAATTGCTGTCTAGGCTGTAGATGAAAGTAGGCAGATCTGAACTGTGTCGGTTTTGCAACACGTTGTCAGTTGTTCTATTCCCTAACTCAGATTAGGTCTGGATCCATTTTATGCAAAGCTATGGATGCAAGTTTCTGGGACACCAAACTTCAAAGGCAGCCTAGAGAAGCAGTTGATAAAGTCTGACCCTTTATTTCTTGTTAACATGCCTTGATATTTCTTAGCTTGATGGAGCTGATCATCTTTCTATCATCTCAGCCAAAACATGTGTTTCTTCCTTTGGTCTAGGCATGGAGAAGAAAGGCATAGAGTTAGTCCTCTAGTAAATGAAGTCAAACACAAAACTGTCAAAAAATACTTGGTTTACCTTCAAAGACATTTTTTCTTGAAACTCTTCCTTTATTTCCTTTGTCTACCTTTTCTAAAATATGCAAAAGGTTTAAAAAAGACTTTCTGACAGAAGCAAAAGCAACTACTGTTTCTACAGAAATATTGGGTACGTTGGGTGTGGTGTGGTTTCATTTGGTTTGGCTTGGCTTGGCTTGGCTTCACTTTGCTTGGTTTCAAATCCATTCTCTTTGAAAAACAATTTTTAAGCAACATGTTCTGCCATGTCTTGTGTTTGTACCCATGTTGGCATCTGGCTTCTAGAGATTATCTGGAAGACTGCATGAATTTATTTATGCTATTTATTTGTGTTAATGGCCAGTTACCAATATGATGTGAGATACTCGAAATGAATGGCACGAACTGGAGTTGTTCTGTGCCCTGAAGGAGTTACAACATTGAATATGGTACACTGACTGCCAAAAACTTTAGGAAAAAGGGAATTTGAGAGCAATACTAAGGGATAGTAGCATTATTGTGATTATACAGAATCCTTACGGGCACAGCTAAATTGACTCATTCTTCAAAGTTCAGTCTTATGTAGGAATTCATCATCACATGTTTCCTCCATGCAAGAATCAGCTTATCAATGACAGATTATGTGAGAAATTCAGTTGAAATAAGGACAGCTTCTTACAGAATGCACCTGTCCAGGTGGGTAACTGCGTCATGATTGCTAGTAAAGCAAACATCAGGCTTTCCTTTCCCTTACATTTTATGATGTTTCCAAATCATTTACACTTCCATGTAATATTTTATAAATAGGGACCAGCCAGACTATTAATTTCAAGCTCCAGGGTAGTCTATGCAATAAGCTAACCCAAAAAAACTGAGCTGTTAATGGAAACTCGATGATTTCATGTTTGTTGTATGCCTTGTGCTATGACTCTTAGTTTCCAACTCTACTCTTTTTACAATTTCAGCACTGAATTACATCCAATATGCAGCATATCTCAGGCCAAGCAAGACCTTGATGAGCAGCCTGGCGATAAGATACATAGGCGATCTGCAGCTGAAGATTATATTTCCAACTATGGCATAGGATTTGACCCAGCAGAGAGTGAATTTGACTATGGTTTATGCAATGAAGTAGTTAACGTAGCTTGCTCACCTAAACCTGATGCTTTCAATCCATGTGAAGATATCATGGGATACAACATTCTGAGAGTCCTGATATGGTTTATCAATATTTTAGCTATCACTGGGAACATTGTTGTCCTCATCATTTTAATAAGCAGTCAATACAAACTCACCGTACCTCGTTTTCTAATGTGCAATCTTGCATTTGCAGATCTCTGCATAGGTATCTATCTGTTGTTTATTGCATCTGTAGATATCCAGACCAAAAGCCAGTATTACAACTATGCCATAGACTGGCAAACTGGGGCAGGATGCAATGCTGCAGGATTTTTTACAGTGTTTGCAAGTGAACTGTCAGTCTACACACTGACTGTGATAACTCTGGAAAGGTGGCATACCATCACCTATGCCATGCAACTGGACCGCAAAGTTCGATTTCGTCATGCTGTGATTATAATGATTTTTGGCTGGATGTTTGCTTTCACTGTGGCACTTCTTCCCATATTTGGAGTCAGCAGCTACATGAAGGTCAGCATCTGTTTGCCCATGGATATAGAAACACCATTTTCTCAGGCTTATGTTATATTTCTTTTAGTGTTGAATGTACTCGCATTTGTGATCATATGTGCCTGCTACATCTGCATCTACTTTACTGTGAGAAACCCTAATGTAATCTCTTCAAACAGTGACACCAAGATTGCCAAGCGCATGGCCATACTGATCTTCACGGACTTCCTCTGCATGGCACCAATATCTTTTTTTGCAATATCAGCCTCACTCAAGGTTCCTCTCATCACAGTGTCCAAATCCAAGATCCTTCTGGTTTTGTTTTACCCCATCAATTCCTGTGCTAACCCTTTTCTTTATGCCATTTTCACAAAGACTTTCCGCAGGGATTTCTTCATCCTGTTGAGCAAGTTTGGTTGCTGTGAAATGCAAGCCCAGATTTACAGAACAGAGACCTCCTCATGTGCGCATAATTTCCACACTAGAAATGGCCATTGCCCTCCTGCATCAAAAAACAGTGATGGGACTATTTATTCATTGGTTCCTATGAATCACTTGAACTGAAGTGCTTGCATGAATTTGTGTCTGAGGCAGTGTGATAATCACTTGCAACTGTGAATTTGAATAATGACTGCAGCATAGCATGTAAACTTTTTATGGGAAAACATTTTTATTTCCGCTTTGCGGTTTTTGTTCAATGAACAGCCATCAGAGATGACACATCATCTTCATCAGTTCTTGAAGGACAAAGAACAAAACTTCTGCATGTGCCAAAGTGTCCTTGTAGAATTGTCTCAAGAAATAAATAAGATTATAAACTGGTATCTCCCACCATACAGGCAGAGATTGCCTTCGTTCTAGGAAGATGTTAACTGCTTACTGAGAATTAAGTCATGGTTGTATACGGTTGAAAGAAAAAAGTATGTAGAATTAATTTTTTTTGTCTGTACAAACATGTTATAATAATGACAGATAATTAGCTCTTTAATCATATTTCCTGGGGTTACAGGACACAGAAGGCCAACTTAAAGCCCTCCTTCAGCCCAGAATTACTAGGAATGAGAATATTTTGTGTTGTTTCCATTTCTGTTCACCAGAGCAGAGGGGCAGAAGCTAGGCTGCTTGTTAGCTGTTCCACACTGCATGGACCTGTCTTACCCTGCACAAAAGTGTCACTTTGGGTAGGATTTGTGTTGACCTAGACTGGCAGACCTAGAGAACCAGATGTCATCTGAGTTTGGATTAAGGAGTTTGGTTTGGGATTTGTTTTCAAGATGAGAAAGAGCAAAAATGAGAGTAGGAGAACCCCTTCATAATAAGGAAGATGTTTTCTCAATTTGGTCTCACAAAGTTGGGTTGAAATCACTTTTGGGTAGCTGAACCCCTTGGGTATGGCAAGATGGGCCAACAGGCTGCTTTAACATGACACCTGAGGCAGGTTTGCCATACAGCAGTATTAGTGCATTGCACTGTCTGGGTTATGTAAAGGACGGTGGATCCGATATGGCTTTAGAAAACCTGAACAAAAGTTTTTGTGAAATCCTACAAGTTCTTCTTCCCCTTTCCTTCTATAGAAATCCTTCACGTGCACATTACCAGATGATGGTCCAGATTTAAAGACCTGAAAAAAAACATGTGCTGCGTATGTTGAAATAAGAAAAAAGAAAAAACTGTTAATCAAGATTTCCTGATTTTACAGAGGTTTTGAATAACATCTCAATGAACATACAGACTTTTTACATGATTTGAATATCAAACTCTTTGACAGTTAATAATTCCAAATTACACCAAAGATTTAGGGTTGGGTAGGGTTTTCTCATGCTGATTGTGTGGCTATGTGTGGGTATGTGGGCATAAAGAAAACACCAGGACAGGAGTTAAGTCTTCATTCCCACTTCATATTCATGGTTTTGCCCCATGAGATAACAAATCTTTGGAGTCTTCATGGTTAAATGTGATGAGCTTTGAATATTTCCTGCCTACAACTCCTAAAATTCCAGTAGCAATTCTTGATGCTTCTATCCATAATTTCCCCTGTCATCAGCTTCACATTTCAGCATCTGAACCTGATGTGAATAACTACAGGAGATGGTTATTCATTCAGTCCTAGCCAGGGAAGGAAGTATCAGCTCCCTAGTGCATAAAACAGGGGAGATCAAAGATAGTGTGTTTTGGGGGGGAAATTTCATTACTCAATACAAGTAACACTTCCTCCAAGATCCAGGAGAAAGAACGAAAGAGCAAAACAGGAAAGACAGTTCATCTCTGGGAAGCTCTTCTGACTACTCAGAGGAATCATTTCTTCACAAAGGCTTTATGTCATACACAGTGTACTAGTGTGCAGTCATTAAAACCCATCCCAATGGAAGTGTCTGAATGATGATGTTCCAAAATGACAAATAGTCTACTTGCATTAAAAGAAGGCTCCTGAATCTATTCTTGGGCCAAAAATGAGGAGTGTTCTTTGGCAAATACTAGCCCATTTTTATTGATAAATAGAGCAAATACTTGTAATGCATCACAGTTTTTTGCCTGGGCCCTGACCATTTGTAAAGGCAATAGGCTGAGACCTGGCAGTTCAAGAAATAAGAGGCATAGTCTAGAAACCAGTCTTGTAAATCCTCTCACAGCTATGTCAGTCACATGAGCTTGGTACACATCATCTACTTCATGCAAAACCATCGCCCAGACTTTTGCAGAATCAGGACCCAGTTAAATATGCTTTACAAATAAACACCCCTGCAAAAAGACCTGGCAGGGTTGTGTCTTGTAGCCAGAGCCAGACCAGGGCCCAAGGGATGAAGCCATCTAGCCCATAGCTCTTCCTCCAGAGGAAACAAGGGATGGATGATACTTGAAGAGCAAATAGAGCCTGCATAACCAGACACCTTGCTTCATCCCTAGCAGGACAATAGCACAGAAATGCTTCAGGCACATGTCATCCTGCCCACATGTGCTACACAGGAGCTCCAGTGGCAGCTTAGGCTGTGGCAGCAGCTCCAAAGCTGGGAGGCTGACCATGTGGTTGCCAAGACAAAAACCTCCTTCTTACAGTCCTCAGATCTCCGTGGTTTTCACTCTTCTTTGGATTTTAATTTTAAGCATCTTCCAAATGGTGAGGGGCATCGTAGGACCTGTGTCTTTCCCTTTGTGGGACATTGGTCCTTTTATAGAAATTTCTCAAAGCAATGTTTTTTCTTTGAAGAAAGTAGTATAAGAAAAAAAATGCAAGATACATTTTATTCATGCTTGTAATGTAAAAAAAGCCTGCTGGTTTCTGCTGTGGATTTTCTCAGCACTGAATAACATGTTTATGTGTGTAATCTTTAAACTATTTTACATTTCCCTTTCTGAAACCTATTTTAATAAAACCAATATCAAAACAAAGTGCCTTGAGAACAAGTGTACGGCCAGAGATATGCTGACGAAGTATGCAATAAATGTTACTGCTTATCTGGAGAGCTCCATTTATGCGGCACAGCCTCCACAGTCAGGTCACTGTGACCTACGGATGAAACTTGGCTGATGAGAGACTCTGCAAAGAAAACCCTCCTGTAGCCTCCTGGAGAGTTAACAAAGCACAGAAAGGTATGTTTGAGACCTCTTAACCAGATAACTTAGCAGCACTGACTGTCTGTTTTAACCGATCTCTTCTATTAATTCACATTTTCTATTAAATAAGATATAAACCATTGACAGAAATTTGACAGGTGTTTTTCTGCTTTTTAATATATGATTATGTGATGCACTCTAATTTTCTTTCCCTCTTTTTTATAGCCAGGGCTTGGAGCTCTGTTTTGTTGAGTCTTTTGTTCAGACAAATAAGTGTGCATCTGTGTGCACACATGGGTGCATGTGTGTGTAGGAGAGACAGGCCACAGGTAACAAGGAAACCGAGTCAAAGCCTAGCTCTGACTCACAGGAAAAAACTTGGAGTTGTTCTAACTTGGAGCCCACTGCTAGCTTGCTCCAAAGACCATATGACAGTCAACAATATTGTAATACTTTCTGGTTGCCCTCCATACCCTTATATGGCCCTTGCATTTCAGTCCTCACCAAGCCCCAGAAAATGCCCAGTTAAAGAGTTATGGCTGTCTTTGCCTTTATGGTGCCATCATCAGAGTGACATAAAGAGACTATGTGGCAGTGAATTTGCTGCCTTTGAGGACATAATAAACTCCTTCATCTGCTTGACAGAAGCATTGCTCCTTCAGGCATGTACCTTGTGGGGAACCCATACCTGACCTCCCCGAAAAACACATATCTGGTCTTGTGATGGGAAGTGAGAAATGGGGCCACTTGGGCTTGGCGGACTAAAGACCGCATCACGAAAATTGCCACCACAGGTAAAGATAATGGGAGCAGCTGGGCAAAAGCATCAATAAAAGCAAAAACCTGACTCAGTAGAGCAAATGAACCATGAGCCATTTTCTTTATAACATTGCTCTGGGGGTTGCACAGATATGCCAAGCAGGATTTGCTCATTAGAAGGCAGGTCTACATTTGAGCTTGTTAGGAATGCAAGATGGGGCTTTGCATCGCATTTAGCAAGTCTTCAGATCATTTGACCACATTTCTTTCCTGTAGATTCCATCCTAATCATTTCACTGAGGACACAGCAGATAATCTTACATTTAATTTATGCATCTTTGTTGTTCAGAAGAGTTAATAATGCAAAATGATTTATCCTCGAGGAATAATTTAACCATCCCTCCCCCTCCCTGAATGAAAGAACAGAAAAGAAAGGTGGGTCTCGTTCAAATGGTCAAGTAAGCACATGCAAACCTCCTCACAGATTTGCATCTTTAATATGGGCATGTATAATCTCCCATTGTGTATGCACATGCGAATTGCACATACACACTCTTCTTCAGGGTGAGCTTTAGGTCTACATACTTGGTTACCAGCACATTTTGGAAATCTGGGCCTTGTTGCTTTAAAATATTCAAGCAAAAGAGTAGGATTTTATAGCTGTCATCTGGATAATTAAACTCTTCATTAACAGTTGTTCTCGAACCAGTAGGTGACCTTTAATTAGGGATGAAAGTACTCAGGAATGGATTTCAAGCATTAAGAAACTGCAGAGGACCTCCCCCCCCCCCCCCGCCCCAAGTCCATTGAAAACCTTTTGTAAAGCACTGGTTTTCCAAGAGAAATAATGCTGGGTGAGACAAAAAACATGTTTCCTGGTCCAACAGATCAGACGAATGCTTCACTTAACCTTGTTCTAACTGAAATATTGTATTTTCTTTTTTCTGTCTCATGCAGACTTTGCTATGTGTTATCTGGAACTTCATAACCCCAACCTGGACACCTGCACCAAGTTGTACCCACACCAAAAAAGAACAGAAGCAAGAACACAATGAGAGCAGTGCACAGATGGGAACATGCTGTATTTATGAGTGGGTGGAAGATTGCAGGGCAGGATTGAGCAATATGGGCTTTTCTGTTGAGTCATCCGAATATCCAGTGTTAAAATTCTGCATTAAAGGGGCTATTTTGGCTGAAGTATAGTTCCCAGGGAACAAGCAATAGAAATTTGCATGGGAAAATCCTCTGGAGAG